CAAGTCGACATTGCAGGCTCTTGCAGTGACTTGATCTCCTTGGATAATTCCAGTCCCATAAGGGGTGGGAAATTTCACGCAATAATGATAAATTGACGTGGCAACCTTTAGTTCGTGCAAAATGGGTTGTCCCAATACTGCATTGTAATTGGACGGTAAATCGACCACCACAAAATCCACTAGGATTCTTCTTTGGTGAGAAGCTTCACCCAGCTCCACAATAAGGATGATCTGACCTAGGGCTTCGATAGGATACCCAGAAAATCCCTGTAGCTTCCTTGGATATGGTTGGAGGTAGCGGACTGATATTTCCAACTGCCTCAAGGTTCGTGAGTACAGTATGTTGACCGAACTTCCATTGTCCACTAGAGTGCGGTGGATTTTTACTCCGGTAACCATCATTGTGACCATAGGGCGTCACTCTAGTCTTGAAGGATTCTTTCAGAATCTTCTTCTATGAACCAGAACGATTCAAGGTCTATGCCGGTCTTAGGGGTTTGATTTCAGTAGTTCGGCATGATTTTTGCACTTCGGGCTTGCCTTCGCCTGGCCCTTCTGGATCCTTCAATATACTGATTTTCGCCTACCATCATTTTGATTTCGGCATGTGGGGGTCGGTTACGGTTAGGGATTGCCTGCTGGGCTTGTGTGGGAGCCTCCTGTAGCAGTGGCTGCTACGTCATAGGTTGATCTGCTTCTTTTGTCTTGGCAACAAACTCCTGTAACCGACCTCTTCGAATTAAGGACTCAACTTCCTCTTTTAAGTCCCGGCAGTTATCAGTGTCATGGTCCATCGTCCTGTGGTATCGGCAATATCGTCCTTGGCGTTGTTCGGCCTGTCCGTCATTTAGGACTATAGGTCTGCGAAATGCTTCTTTTGTAATGGTTTGCGTGAATACCTCTTCCAATGAGGCTTTGAGTGGTTGGTACTCCCGGAACTTGTATGGCTGAGCCCTGGGACGTTCTCTTTCTCTCTTGTCTTTCTATCTTTCTGGTTGTGGATTGTGGCTTGATTTTTTTTCTTTCACCACATCACTGAGGTCAATTTCGCGTCTTGCTTTCTCTTGGTTAGAGGTTGCTTTTTCAGCGCTTATGTATTTCTCAGCTCGATTCAGGAACTTGTGATAAGTCCTTGGACCGTCCTCGTGTACTAACCACCAGAATCTCGTTTTAGGTCTTAGTCCTGCTAATACGACCATGAGTGCCGCATCGTCTGATACTTTTTCCACTTCCATGGATTGCTTGTTGAACCTACTTAGATAGCTTTTGAGGGATTCACTTCTTCCGTGCTTGATGCTCACTAAACGTTCTTTGGATGTAGTTCTAGCCTTGGAGCCCATAAACTGGGCCAAGAATGTCGTGGCCAGATCATTCCAATCCTTTACCTACCTTTCGTGTAGTCTCCTAAACCATCTTTGGGCTTTGTCTCCTAGAGTCAGGGGAAATGCTCGGCTCATGATTGCGTTGCTTGTCCCATGTAGTTCTATCCACGAGGTGTATTTGTCAAGGTGGCTAAGGGGATCACTATCCCATTCGTATGCGGCGATCTAGGAAATTTTCAATTTTTCAGGTAGTGGTTCCATAAGGACATCCTTAGTGAAGGAGAAATGTCGTTTGGTTTGGTGACCTTCAGTGCCACCTTTGTTTTTAGCCTCCAGTTCGGCGATGCGTTTTTTAAGCGCGCTTAGTTCAGGTTCTATTTGTTCCAAAGGACATTTCAGGTTGGTTTGTCCTTGTGTAGGAGTCAGCGAGTGATGGGTCCCCGATCTGTCGAACACACTTGCAGTTCTTCTCGCCTCAGGTTCTTTGCTTTTGGCTTCGTCGGTTTGGCTTCTTGATGATTCTCCTCTTGAAAAGTGGACAGTTCTCCTGGTGGTGGGACACTTTGCCTTTGTCCTTACAGAGGATTCTACATCAGTATCTGGTGGGGACGAATGGGCTTGACTCCTTTCCAGTCGTCCCACTGCATTTGTCAATTTTTCTAGGGCTTCCCTCATTGCGATTATTTAAGGGTCCTATCGTTGTGGAGAACTCAGTGGTATATTCGTTTCATGAGGGTGGGTGTGAGATGGATTTCTAGAACTTGAGAGCAATGACTCATGGCTCTTGAAATTTTTGTGGAGCGAATGAAACTATTTTTCACAATTAGGGGCTCTCCTTCTAGTGCCAAACTGTTGACATCAAAATTAGCAAGGATAATTTTGAACCAACTTTAAGAAAAAATGCGATTTATACTTAAAAAAGACCGCAAAGATGTCATCTTAGTGTGATTGTGCCATAAGTTGTTATATGAATTCGCTCTCCCTTTACAAGAGTCCTATTCAACTATTTATACATAGTTTCAACATAAATTATATCAAATTAGTCAAATCAACAACAGTGCCGAACTCGAAACTCGGCTTGCCAAATTCTCCTGTGATTGGTTGATGAGGTCGATGGTCATGTGTTAATGTATTACCTAGGTAATGATGACCTGTAAGGGGTTGGAATTGGTTGTTTTGGGCGGTGATGACGTCACCTGTGGCAAGTGTATCTGATTGATAGGGTGATGTGACAAGGAGTAATCATGATATTTTTCTAAGATAACGGCGGGTAACTCCGACCTGGGGGCATGGGCCAAACTTACGTTTAATTGAGGTGGGGTTAGCGAACTGTTTATACTAGATCGGAGTTCGGATGTCAACAAGACATAGCAAATTATAAAACCCCAGAAGAGGTTCAAGTACCCGATATGTTGAAAATTGAAATATCTAAATAAGTTATGTTACTATGGAAAAAGAAATAGAATCGAACAAGAAAAGAAAAAGTTGTTGACAACAATTCTGTACATGATATACAGTATCATATGTGAATCACGAGGAATCGAAATAAATGAATCGAAATATATCGATCAAAATAATGTTTGGCCAAATAAAAGGAAATGCAATCTTAAATTGAATTTACTAGATAAACACGAAATTTTTGAACATGTAGTCCGAAAATTTAAAGGTATATACTTATACGAAAAGGAAATGAGAAAAATGAAGTCGTATTGTGTAATGCACGACTCTCAATATAGTGAATTTCACAAAGATCATCATAGATAAAATCACAAGTGTATATCATGTTATCTTGACGATACATGAAATTTGAAATACGTGATCATCAACTGAACTGACATACATGATTATTAATGTTATCTTTGAAAGATTTAATATGCCTAAAGCATAACTCAAATGATACATGCTCGGGAACCATATTCTTAGATCATTATATTAATTAAAACAATCTGGACGCGTGTGGTATAATCGCTTTAGCAAATATTTCTTGAATGAATGCTATGAAAATAACCTTGTTTGTTCATATGTTTTCTTTATGTTTTCATAAAGAAAACAAATATTGGATCCACAATTATGGTTGATAATTTAAACTTAATTGGAACTCCTGAAGAGCTCAACAAAGCTATTGGTTATTTGAAAAAATGAATTTGAGACGAAAGATTTAGGAAATATCAAATTTGGTATTGGACTGCAGATTGAACATTTCACAGATAGATATTTTGTTCACCAATCTACGTACACAAAAAAAAGTTTTAAAACACTTTTATATGAATAATACACATCCACTGACATTACCATAGTTGTTCGATTATTCGATGTGAAAAATAATTCATTTCGTCCACTTAAAGATGGAGAAATGGTCCTTGGTCCTAAAATACTATACTTTAGTGCAATTGGAATATTAACTTATCTTGTAAATTGTACTAAATTTGACATAACTTTTTCTTTAAGTTTCTTTACAAGATATAGCTCTACACCAACTCAAAAATATTGGGATGGTGTTAAACATATTTTTCATTACCTAAATGGTACTATTGATTTGAGATTATTTTATTCTCAAAAGTCAGGATCCGCTTTAGTGGGATATACAGATGCATGTTATCTCTCTGACCCACATAAAGCTAAATCACAAATAGGATATATATTTACACGTGGAGGAACAACTATATCATGGAGATTCGTGAAGCAATATTGACAGCAACATCATCAAATCATTCTAAAATTATTGTAATCCATGAAGCAAGCGAATAATGTGTATCGTTGAGAACATGACCCATCATATCCAAGCATCATGCAAGTTAACTCTAAGAAAGGATAGGTAATAATTTTGTATGAGAATAGTGCAGCTTGTATTGCACAACTCAAAGGAGGCTATATCAAATGTGACAGAACGAAGCATATTTCTCTAAAATTATATCATACACATGAGTTTCAGAAGAATGACGACATTGATATCTAATAAATTCACTCAAGTGACAATGTGATCGATTTATTCACAAAAGCACTGTCAACATCTATATTCAAGAAATTAGTTCATGAGATTGGAATGCGTCGACTCAAAGATCTTCAGTGATCAACATCAGGGTAAGTAACTGTACTCTTTTTCCTTCGCTTATGTTTTGTCCCACTAGATTTTCCTAGCAAAGTTTTAATGAGCCAACATTTATTTTACTCCAAAATAATTATACTTTTTTCCTCTGTTTTGATTTTTTTTCCCATTGAGTTTTTATTAAACAAGGTTTTAACGAGACAGATATTTTATAATGTATCATTTAAGGGGGAGTATTGTAAAAGGTAAGTTTATTAGGGTTTAGAAGTGAATGACAATTATACCCCTACAACCCTAGAAATTATTACTGTGGTATCCCTGATTCTGCTCTATAAATAAAGGGCTTTGATTCTTAATAAAAGACATAAAAGTCTATTGACTTCTCTCTATTCTGTTTTCTTTTCTTCAATTTCATAACAGGACCATGTTTTTTTTTTTCATAGTTTGCAACTCAATTTCTCCAACTTAATTACCTTCCTCCACTCCATTTCAACTAGGAGCACGCAACTCTCAACACCGTGGTAATATTCAAGTCTCAAATTAATGTTCAAATTTCAAATATTCTGAATTGACTATACTGAACATTGAGCCAGTAAAAAAAATGAGACAAGAAAACTATAAAAACAACAATGAAGCTCAAGACTTACTGGGATTGATTGTGACAAAAAGATGGACCATTACTCAAAATTAAGTCATTCTTGTGCATAGTAAGCATAGAGGCAAAATAAAAACAAAAAAATTCATGGACTCATGGGTATAAAATAAAACATTATACAATGAAAACTAGTAACATAAATGAATGCCAAACCCGACAAACAAACTGAAACACACAGCTTATTAATGTAACAAACAAATGCATCATACTTCTTTACAACCCCGACATAAACACATAGCTTCTAACTACAAATCCATACTACCATCACGTGCTTGCATTACAAGACACAACCGCCTATTGATGTGCATTGCCATGTGTGAATATTGGTCAAACGACATTACGTCCTCGAACTCCTTAGACGCTTGCCTATACCTTTTGTTCGCCCAGAAAAGATTATTAAGTCGTGACTAGTTGTCTAAATCCATAGAAAAATAAAACCCAAAGCAAGATGCTTGCATTAGTGAAAAGTACGATTGTATTGCTACGACATCTCCTTCACCTAGTTTTAATCGCTTCACTTGTTCAACGTAATTTCTACAATCATTTTCTATGAACGTCACATTCTTATATCCACCGGCTTCAACAACTGCATAGTTGTAACTCTTCTGGCCGTATCATTTATCTCTAGCTTTCGTTTCACATGTGCACTCAATTCTCGGTTGTAACGATACAACCTAGATTTTGACGGTCTTGTTTTATGACTGTGCTCAAGGTCAATTGTGCAAATTTTCCATATTTCATGAATATCTGAGGAAGCAATTAGCATTGCTTTACAACCCGTTTGAATTGTTGGTTGTGGCCTTAAAGAAGTTCTTGTGTTATAGCTTTTTCGTCTCTCATGACTACAAGTCAGCGTAACATATCATACCATTCCATCCCCATCCTTCCTAGAATTCTTCTCCTCGTCGAAAAACCTACGTCGTAGGCATATTATTTGTAGAATTCAAACAGCTCTTTTTCATCGTTAAACTTCATACCCACCTTAGAAAATTCACAACATCTCCTCCTAAATTATCACCTTCCATTGTGATTACATTGTCCAACAAGTTCTCATTATTAGATTCTACCAATACTTCTACGTCCATCATATCTACTATTTCTTTTCCTACGGCAAAATGAGTGGGAATAGATTAGTGTTATAACAAAATTAAGAAACAAGTACCATAAATATGTTCATAACTATATGATTTTGATATACTAGAATTGAAATAACACGTTACTCAATAGTGAATATTGAATTCATACGCAAGCAATTGTACACATTCAAACTACAACTTCAGCAAAGTATGAATTTTATCTTTTTCAGTCATTTCTTCCACCTCTATGACATTGCAGATACTCCGTAATCAGTGTACAGACCTAAGTTGGTGAAGAAGATCAAATTACTTTTCCATGTCTTAGGCCTAAATTCAACCACACTATAACAACAACATCACAAGAACAGTCCACTGTGAAAAGTAATTAAAATTCAGATTTAGGCATAAAGACGTATAAAAGTATTTTACCTTCCTCAATTAACCCACTACGACATAGCAAGCCGTGGGTAAGAAGATTTTACAAATCAACAAAGAAGAAATCACATAAGTTGTCCACTATGACACCGCACTTTGTGGGATTTTAAGGATTGGTACTGTATCGTGGAAGGTGGAATTGGTTTCGGACGAAGAGGGATAAAAATAATCTCAACGTTTCTCATTGACAAATTCCCAAGAATTTTCCTCGCTGTTCGCTTCTGACGGGATTTCTTGTTGATTTGGGGATAAATGAAAGGGTTGGGAAATAGGTCAGTGAAAGGGTTAAATGGGGAGGAAATATCTCTAGATAGCCTAAATAAAAGGGAGTTTTGTAAGATTAGACCAAAAAATATAATCACTTGAAGAATATCCTTTGAATAATAATTTTTTCAAAAATACCCCTTATTATGAAATTACAACCAAAGCCACTACAATGTATAAAAACCTTCAATTAAGTCCTCAAAGAAATATAGATAAAAAATCTTTAATAAATTTAAACCCAAATATTATACAAAATTTTATTGATCTAAAAAACGCAATAGAAAATGAATTAAAATATTTAGAAGAAGATCTGAAAGGTTTCTTTACAGAATATTTAGATCCAAAATTAAAAAATAAAAATGTTTCTATAGATAATAGAACAATCAAAACAGAAAATGATATATATAAACTAATTCTTAACCTGAGAAGAATAATTAAAGAATTAAATATAAGAAGTATTAATAAAAGATAGTGAATTTTATAAATTCTATTGTAATATTTTAAATACTTATAAAGATTTTAATTGGCTCAAAAATCTAAACCCCTCCGCTGCACACTTCGAAAAAATGGTATCAGAGCCATGTTACGAACCAAAAATTATGATGAATATAGTAGATGAAGAAAATATAATTGAAGAATTTTTGAAAAAAGTTGAAAAACATAAAAAACCTAGTTATCCCTATTTACCTAAAAATACCACAAATGAAAGTTTTGAGGATATATACAAAAGATTAGAAAATCTAGAATATAATCTACAAGTAGGAAACGCTCTTTTAGATAAAAATTTTAAAGGAAAAGATATGATTATAATTAATCCACCTCAAGATTTTAGGATAACACAAAAGGAAAATAATAAAGGGAAAAAAATGAAGAAAAACAATATCTGATTACAAATGTAGAAGAAATAGAATAAAAATTCTTAGAATCTACAGGTGAAGAGTATGAAGAATATAAAAAACAGTTAGAAGAATTAACAAAAAAAGTGGAAAATACAAAGATGAATACTAATCCATCTTCAAGTCAAAATATAAAAGTAGAATTCAGTAGTGATGAAAAACAACATTATTCTTATGGTACCCCAATACCTGATAAGGATGGTATTTACCAATATAGAAAAACACAGAAAAGATACACTGGAAATGTAAGAAAACAGTCCATAAAAGAAATAAACCCAATGAAATCTTATAATGAACCAATCCACACAACAAGAGTATGGTTAGATCTAGACTGTGTAGATAAAAATAAAACTATTAAAACATGGATGAAAAGTACAGATTTAGCAATACAATTTAATAAATGGGAAACATATACAACTTTTGGATTTATCGAACATGCATTCAGAAGAATTTTTTCTGAATGGTTGAGAAAATTACCAGAAACTATTAAAGGAAGGATAAAGTATGGAGCAGGTAGAACTGAGATATTAGACAATAGGAATACTTTAAATGAACAAAATATACAGGAGATATTAAAAAGGTTTGAAAAAAATCTTAAGAACAGAATTTTTAGGAGATAAGTATACTTCTAATGATGAAGAAAGAAAACAAGATGAATATAATCAAGGAATGATAGCAATGAAAAATTTAAAGATATGTGATATGTGTGAATTAGAAAAATATACTTGTAAATTTGAAAAATATACTATATATTAAACCAAGGAGATTATCAAGAAAATAAACCTATATTAAGATCTTATTTTACGAAGTTACCATTTCCATGGGGAATTAAGTTATTAAAAGAATATGAAAAATTATTACCTCTAGGAGAAGAGGAAGGAATAAAAATAGAGAGTCTTGGAAGTAAGATTGAATTTACAAAAAGAATGACAGGTATGTGGTGCAGAGAAGCTTTAGAAAATAAAAAATATATAAAATAAGAAAAAATTCATTAAGTTGTTACAAATATATTGGCCAAGTTGAACAATTTGGATGCCATAAGAAGAAATATAAACCGTATAAGAAATATAAAAGAAAATTCAAAAACTATAAAAAAATTCAAGAAAAGAAATTTTAAACCACACAGAAAATATTTCAAGAAAAGAAATTGGAATAAAAAATTTAAACCAAGAAATATTAAAAAATGTAGATGTTTTATTTGTAATGAAGAATGACACATTGCCCCTCAATGTCCTAAAAAAAAGATAGACAAAATATAAAAACTCTTAGAATTTATGAAAAATTTCAAGAAGATAGTGACATAGAACCAATTGAATATTTTGAAGATCTAAGTAGTGAATGCAGTAACATTTATGAATTAAATACATTCTCATCAGAAGAAGATTATGAAGAGATAGTATATATGAACCAGGAGATACAATAATCAGAAATAGAAATAGAAAGAATTGAAAAAGTTGAAAACTCTATTGAAGGTATAAATCGAGAAATTACTTTTGATATTAAAAAATATACAGGAATCACCAAGAAAATATTAGACATACAAGAAAAAGATGTATTCCATCAAGAATTTTTAGGAATATTACTAAGAGTAAATAAAACAATTGTAAGTATAAATTATAAAAAAATGTCTATCAATATAGAAGATATTATAGGAAAAGCAAGAATTCTTATAATTACAAAAGAATGGGTAAAACAAAGGTTATCCAAAATCCCAGAAAACGTAAGAAACAAATTAAAATGTATTAAAATAGGAGGAGTCCAGATAATGGTAAAAGGATTCTTTAGAGAAGATATGAATATATCAATAGAAATATATTGTATGGACAATAGAATCTTACAAAATCCTGTAGATGCACTATTAGGAACAGTTGTAGAAAACTTAGTCTATCAGAAGATAATATTTACAGTTAAACCAAATTATGCTATATCATTAAATGATGAAAATATTGACCAAAGTTTCTATCTATATTATAGAATTGGAAACTTGAAAATGTTACGAAGAAGTAAGGCTATTAGTATGAGCATAAAATCAATTTTTGCTTTTAGCACTAGCCATCATAACAATCTAAGAAAGATGACCGATAACATTATCATACATAAAGATTTTGAGGAATTAGCACAATATATACCTTCTAGGAAATACCAAGAACACGAAGTCACTATACCAGAACAAATAATGCTTGATTTCCATAAACAAGCTAAAGAAATTAATTTCAAAGGAAAATTAATATAAAGAAATAGTGTCAGCTTAGAAGGAGATAATCTTATTGCAAGATTTCCCTCTAGACAAGACTCTAGGATAAGCAGACTAAAGAATTTAAGTATTGCTGAACCATCAAGTTCACAATATTACATTAAGACAAGATATGTAAATCAAGAAGGATACAAGAAAAATCTTCTTATCGTCATAGATACTGGAGCAGATAAAAGTCATGTAAATGCTAAATTTGTTAATAATTTAATAGATTTTGAAATACCAGAATCATATATATTTAAGAATTATTTAGGAAATAATCTTGAATTAAGAAAATATGTTAAGTTCCCTTTTATACTTATAGGAGAGGATCAGAAAGAATGTATTAAAGAAATAATTCTATATAAAGATGAATTATAAGGAGTAGATCGTTCACCTATTCTACTAGGAATGAACTTTCTTGAAAAATATAGTCCATATAAAATCTGTCAAGGATATTTAAAGATAACAGTTGATGATAACCCAATCATCATATTAAGAATAGATGAAAGTATGAAATCATTGTTATCATGGAAAGAGTAATAAGTACTAATCCCATGAATCCATAAATTGAAATTACACTTAATATAAAAAGCTATTGTAGAATTAAATTTCATGCTTACTTAGATACAGGAAGTACAATAAGCTTATGCTTACCAAATGTACTACCATCGGAATACTGGATATACAATTCAAAGAAGATAGTCACCGTTACAACAGCAGGTGGAAATAAGGTAATATACAGCAAATATGCTACGCAAGTACCTTTTCTAATTTTCTTTAGAGAAGTATTTGTTGATACAATATATATGTCAACCACAATTGGATGTGATATTTTATTAGGACAAAATTTCCTATTAAAATATGCACCATTCACACAATATATTAAAAAATATATGTTCACAACACCTTGTGCATATAAAATATTTACACCAAAAATAAATAAAGTTGTTACAATTGTATATACAGATATAAACCATCAGAGTTCCTCAACTTAGCGTGGTGGATGTTGGAGTACAGAAAAATTTAAACCAGTTACAGTCTTAAAAATGATAACAGAAAATAAGTTAGAAAAACTGAAAAAAAAATTCTAAAACATACTCTGAAAATCGATTAGAAAAATGGAATACAGATAAAGTAAAGGCACAGATAGAATTAACCAATTTAGACACTATTGTTAAAGTCAAACCCATGAAATATAGCGTTTATGACCAAAAGGAATTAAAAGACCAGATAAAAGAATTGCTAGAAGTCAAATTAATTAGGCCTAGTAAAAGTTCACATAGCAGCATAGCCTTCATGGTTAGAAAACATAGTAAGATAAAAAAAGGAAAAGTCGGAATGGTGATAAATTACAAACAATTAAATGAAGTTACTAAATTTGATGGATACTACTTGCCAAATAAGGACACCCTTATTAAACAAGTACAGAACAAAAAGATATTTTCAAAATTTTATTGTAAGTAAGGGTTTTGACAAATCATGCTTACAGAAAAAAGTAAACCACGAACTACATTTAGTACCCCCAATCCTTTAGGACAATACGAATGGAATGTAATGTCATTTGGGTTGAAAAATGCACCACAAATATTCCAAAGAAGAATGGATGAGATAATCAAACAAATTACTAATTTTTGTATTGCATATGTAGATGATTTACTTATTCATTCAAATAATATTGATGAACATATTGAACATCTTGAGAAATTTTGTTATATTATGAAAAAATATGGTATTACACTTTCTCAAAGAAAGCTGAGATAGTTAGAACAGAAATAAAATTTTTAGGATTATTTATAAAAGAATGAGAATTGCAATTGCAATCTCATATTGGAGAAAAGTTTCAAGAATTTTCTGAAAAAATCAAAGATAAAAAATAATTACAAAACTTCCTTGATATATTAAATTATGTTGAAGGATTTA